GTGGGTCCCCGTGCTCCCCCGGCTGCCCCTCACCTCACTGCCCCCTGCAGGCCTTCATGGATTTCCAGATGCAGCGCATGACCTCAGCCTTCATTGACCACTTCGGCTTCAACGATGAAGAGTTCGGGGAGCAAGAGGAGAGCGTCAAGTGAGTGCCTTCTGCCCCCTGAGCTCTGGGGTCACGGTGCACATTTCAGAGGTCCAGGAGTGAGGGTGGGGTGAGGGGCAGGCCGGCTGCCTCGGGGCGTCTGTGGTGCCCAGCTGCTGTCAGGGAGCCCTTCAGTCTAAGATCTGTGGTGGCTCCATCAGAAGGGGGAGATGTGGGACCAGAGCTCCCATTCTTGGGGACTCTACACGTTCTGGAAGCACATGGGCTGGGGAGACCACCAAGACGACTGCCTTACATAACCTCTGGGTGTGAAACCCCTAGTGTCACTAATGTCCTCCCAAAATTAAATAGTAGTTTAGCCTGACTGAAGAAAGTACTCTGAGGGCTGGGTGAGCAGCTTAGTTACTGGGGAGACGCAACAGTGGGGTGAGGATGGCCGCACAGCTCCAAGAAGCCCTTGGCAAGAAGAGACAGGGAGGTCCCTCTCGCATGTCCACACCCTTTACATCCCCCAGGGTCTCCACAGGGTAGAGATGAGACCGTCTGCTTCTGGGGGTGGGTGTGTATAAAATAAAAAAGGCAGCCTTGGAACTCTGGGAGAAGGGTTTGTGTGTGTGAGAGAGAGAGAGAGGCCTTAGAACTCAGGGAGAAAGGGGTACGTGTAAAATTAAAAAGGCAGCCTTGGAACCCCAGGGGGTGGGGGTAGGCTGTGGTGTGTGTGCGTGTGCATTTGTGTAATTAAAAAAAAGGCAGTGTTGGAACCTTGTGTGTATGTGTCGTGTGAGAGAGAGTGAAAGATTAAAAAAAAAAGGCATCCTTAAAAAATAAAAGCACCGTTGGAACCCGTAGGTGTGCTCTGTCAGTGGGACGTCGCGGGGAGTTGAGGTCACTCTGACAGGCGCGGATTTGGGGTATAATGCGAGTGTGCTGGAGGCTGAACCCAGTGCAGGGGAAAATGAGGGGCCTGGCTGTGGGAGGAAAGAACTATGTTGGGGTGCACGCTGACCTTCCACCACGCCCCGCGTCACGCTCCCCACCCCCTCTCCTCCCACCAGCGCACCTTTCGACAAAACGGCCAACATCACCTTCTCCCTGAATGCGGACGACGAGAACGTGAGTGCAGCCCGTCCCCTGTGGGTCCACGTGGGAAGCTGCGGGGCAGGGGTGGGTGGTCTGTGAGTACAGTACAGCCCACCTGGCCGCCCTCCCTCAGCCCAACTCCAACCTGCTGGAGATCTGCTACAAGGACCGCATCCAGCAGTTTGATGACGAGGACGAGGTGGAGGACGAGGAGGGCCAGGGCTCCGGGGAGTCGGACGGCGAGGACAGCGCCTGGCGGAGCGGCCAGCTGCACAGGGGCGCCCGCCTCCAGCACCAGAGTGTCCGGTGAGTCCGCCGCCTCCGTGGGTGGAGGCTCGTGCCGGCGCCCCGGGGTTCAGGTCACTGGTGACCTCACTGGGTTCCCTTCAGCCCTGGCTCGAGGGGCGCTCAGTGCTGTAGGGACGAGGCCACCTGCCGGCTGTTGCTCTCCAAGGTAGACGGGAGGTCAGGCGGGCCACGTGGGGTACTTGAACTTGAGATTTACAGGCGCGGGCCTGCTGGGTCGGTTCTGACTTGCGGCTGTGTCAGCATAGACTCTCCCCCGGGGGCTTTCGCTGGCGGGTTTTGCAGGAGCAGACGGCCAGGGCCCCCGTCTGTCCCAGAAGCCTGAGTGGCCTTGAACTAGCGTTTGAGGGAGCAGCTGAGCGTGCTGACCGCTTAGGTGGAAGCTGTACGCGGGACTGGGGAGGAGCGTCGATGGTCTTCGGATGTGTCTTGATCCAGTGCAACTCTGGATCTGGGGAGGAGTGTTTTGTGTCACTTTTCTTGTCAAAGAGGTGTGTGCGTACAGCATGACGTCGACACTCCAGCACGCAGCTCACGGCCACGGTGCCGTGGCCATGCAGTGCAGGGTCCCCTACCCTTCCCCCCTCAGAGCTCAGGTCAGTCTTGTCTCGTCATCTGGGAGGCATAGAGGAGGTGTGGAGTCTTGAACACACCACCCCACGCCCTGTGGTCTGGGAGGGGCAGGAAGACTAACTTTGGAGGTTTGGACATCCTCGGAAGGCCATCCTGCTGGGAAGTAATTGTTACACACACAACACAGCACACCCCATATTCTTCTTTTTCTTTCTCTCTCTCTCACTCTCACACACACACACACTCACTCACTCTCTCTCCTGTCGTAAAGTGGCTGTGACACATCCCGGCCACCCCCCGAGGAGCTCCCTCCTAGAGTGAAGGCACACACCCCACTCCCAGGAAGTCCCTGTGTCCTGTTGCCTCGTGTCTGGCCCACTGCTTCTCATCGGCTGCCCTTCCTGCTCCCATCTGCGCTGTGTGCCCCCGGGAGCGTGGGCACAGGGGGCGCTCAGCTCGTGCAGGGCTTGTGCCCACACCTGGCAGCTGAAGGATGTGGGCACTGCAGCCCACCTGCCGGGCCCTCCACCGAGGACGAGAGCTTCCATAGAGAAGTCCGCCTTGGAAACTCCTGGGGCCATCTGTCTGTCCAGGGTCTTGACGTGGGCGTTTGAGTTCACTGTGGAGGTACACCTGAGAAGTTGGGGTAGGGGGGCTCTGGTGATGTGCTCCGGGGAGTCAGGGCCTGGGAACTGCCAGGCTGCGGTTATCACGAGAAGACCGAGGCCGCCTGAGAACCAGTCACTGCACACCGGAGGGCAGTGTCACCTGGCACACGTGGCAGTGACCACAGAGCAGCCGGCTCGGTGTTCTAGAGAGTGGTGTGCGGGGTTGTTGGGTGAGGCCGCCTCCAGTGAAGCTTCCAGGCTGCAGCTGGCTTAGGTTACCCAGTAGGGCCCGAGTGTCTGTGCTCTGGGCCCTGGCCCGCTAACACGCTGGGTCATGCTGGGTGTCTGCTGCCCCGGCCCACGCTGGGGTGATTGATGCTGGGTGTCTGCTGCCCCTGGCCCACGCTGGGTGCGGGTGTCTCTGGCCTCCTTCATTCTGGAGACTGTGGGGTTTATGGAGGTCGGAGCTGGTGGCACAGTAGTTGGAGTGCTCCGCCGTGGGCCAGAAGGGCGGTGGTTCCCGTCCGCCTGCTGCCCCCTGGCAGAGATGAGCACGTGTGCGGGCGTCCAGGTGCTTTCTGCTCGGCCTCGCTGGGTCGAGCTGTCATCACCTCCGGTGGCGGGGGAACCGCAGGACGGTCCTCTCTGCCCCTGGAGCAGTGGGGAGCTCTGCTGGGGGGGTTCTCTAGGGAGGGGTGCTGCTGAGATAAAGACGCTGCCGGGGCAGCTCGGTGCCACTGTTGGCTGTGAGGAGAAGGACGGACGTCGTCCTCCCACGTGACCGATACGCCCCGAGACCTCCCCGCTCTGATCGAGGCAGGGGGAGGTCCCGCCTGCTGCCCGCTGAGAGGTTGTGGGTTCGTGTACACCAGGCGCTCCAGGCAGGGAGAGCGAGGCAGCCTGGTCTGACGGGTGTTCGGAGCCCTCCAAGCCCCGTGAGGTTCCACTCGCCCTTCTCTGCCCTGCAGGTTGTGGCAGGTGGTTTAAAATCACACATTTCTGCAGGTTTTGACAAGCCCACCCGGATGCGGCTTGTAGGCTAGCTCGTTTGTCCTTCGCTTCAGTTGTCCACAAAATGCTGGCGGGGAGATCATTTCCAGGGATGGAAACGGAAAGTAGAATCGAGGCGAACGGTGTCCTCTCGGCTTACGAGGCCACAAGTCCAAATCGAGGGTGCCAGCCGTTCAGGGAGGACCCCGGTCTCTGCTACCGGGCGTGTCCTCACCTTCCCTGGTGTGGGCACCAGGCCTGGCCCCGCGCGAGACCAAGCCCCCATGGCTGCCTGCTACTGAGGCAGCCCTCCTGGCGCCCTTTCCTCGGGGCTCCCTCCTCGCCTCCCCCTTACCGTGCCGGGAGAGGAGGTGCAGTCGCAGGCCGAGCTCTGGCTCAGGACCCCGGCCCCCCGGAATCACTTGACGTTCTAGGACTGGCGTCGTCCGAGAGCACACGCCTCGCTCCCCCGTGGTTTGCGGCCGCCCTGGTTGTCTATCGCTGCCGTAACTGAAGTCCCCTGCGTCCCCGCGGTGCAGGAGCTGAAGTCAGAATTCAGGGCGAGCCTGGCTCTGCGATTTCTGGGGCGTCCCAGAGATCCTGGGCTCCTGAGCATCTCCCGGGTGGCCTTCCCGTGGTGTGGCGTCTTGTCCCCCGTCCGTCTGCTCGCTTGTGTTTAGCCTCCTTATTTCCCGAAAGGGATTGACTCCCAGATCGGGTCCCCTGGCCGCTCCCCAGGAGAAAGGTGGACGGCCTCTGAAGCCCAGTGGAGGTCCCTGGGTTGGAAATGCCCTAAGGGCATGTTCTCTGGGGAGGACAGTGTAGAACTGGCCCATGGAGTTTCCGAGGCTGAAATGAGCAGCTGGTGGATTTGAACCACTGACCTTAGCAGCCCAGTGCTTAACCCGGTACGTCACCAGGGCTCTTTGACTCCGGTTGCTGTTGTTAGAGGTCCTAAGTGAGCTCCTCTGACGCCCACGTTTAGCAGAAGCTCCTCCGCGCCTCCTGTCCCGTCAGCTCGAGCCGCTGCGTCCACGCGACCGTGCTCGTTCACACACTGAACGCTCCCCTTCCCAGAAGGCCGCCGTCAGAGCGGTCAGCAGTCCTACACGTGTCCGAGGGGTGGGCCCTACTGCCGGACCCCGGGGCTCCTGGAGCTGCCCCTCGGGGACACGGAATCCGAATGGGTCCCGGCGAGGTGGCTTTGGCGTCTGCTTGCTTGTGCGTCTTCTCACGGCGACGTGTACCCCATGGTGGACGTCGCTGGACATGTGGGCTCTCCTGGTGTCCTCCCACTCTCAGAGCCCCTCCCCCATGTGTCAGCTCGTCCCCAGAGACGAGTGCCCAGCAGAGGGGTGTCTGCTGGGGACCTGGACGCAGGGCAGTGAGGCCGGCCCCACCTGGCCCCGGGAGGTTGGAGCTAACGTGGCCTTTCTCTGGGTAGGAGTGGAGGCAGCACCGACAGTGAGGAAGAGGAGGAGGAGGAAGAAGAGGAAGAGGAGGAGGATGTCAGCCACGTGGCGAGGGGAGGGGCCGGTTCCCCTTCCTACCTGAGTTCCGGTCCCCTGCCCACGGCATCACCACCTCAGGGTGAGTGGACGGGGCAGGAGAGTGAGGGGCCCAGGATGTCCTCCCGCCCCTGTGCTCAGCTCTCCTTGCTTCACACAGGCCCTGGCTGGACGGCCACCTTTGACCCAGTGCCTACTGAAGCCTCTGCACACCCCTGCATCTCCAGGGGTGAGGAGTCTGGCCCCGTGGTTGTGGCCCCCCAGGGCCCCCCCGATGGTCCCCAGGACCCACATACCCCAAGCCTGACTGCCCCCACGGCCAGCGAAGCCCTGCAGGTTAGGTGAGATTCGGTGAGGAGTCTGGGCGGAGGGGGGCAACTCCTGTTTGGGGACAAGGACTCGCCTCCACCTGCCACCCCCTCCTGCCAGGTCTAAGGACCCTGCAGTCCCCTCAGCACCTCAGGAAGCGGCCGCTGGTGGTGTCCCAGAATCTGCGGG